TGCCTACAATACCTAGGATATATGAAAACCATTTTTTTAAAATAGTATCCTTAGAAAGCTACACTGTATTCTGAATGAGCATCAATGTAAATATTAGTTTTTCCTCCCACTTTTCTGCAAAACAGTGGAGAAGGGATAGAAAAGTAAAAAAATACCTTCTCGAAACTAGAAAAAAAAAAATTATGTGCTAGCATGTGCTCCTGTCAAATTCTACCCTGAATCTTTCCTGTCTCAAGAGGAAAATAAGCACTTTTCACTCCTTGTTTTTAAACCTACAGCATGGTGAAACATTTCCCAGCAACAAATGCCACTACCTGGACCTTCATACACTACCTTGTTCACAACAGCCATGTTTGTTTAGACATCCTGTTCATTTCTGACATGAGCTCTGCTTTCCCTGCCCCATCCCAGTTATCTAAAGGTAGGGGAAAAAAAATGATTGCTAGTGTCCACAATCTGTCAGATTAATATTTGCAATTCAAAGACTTAAAATGGTAATAAAGAAAAGCTTAAGTGCAGTGTGTACAAATTTAAGAAGCCTGGAGAGTCTAACACATGCTTAAATAGGCTTCTACAATACACATATTCATGAAGACTCTCTTATTCAAACCTCTGCAATACAGCTCATTTTCCCTTCTTTTTTTCCTTTAGTTCTGTCCACAAAAATTCAACTGGTAGTAAGTCTTAGTGTACCAATGTTAAAATTCTCCTTTATACACGCTAGTGAACTGCAGCTCTGTGCTTTTGAGGCTCATGCATTTGAAGAACAAAACCAAAGAAGAAAGCAATATGCAAATAATAGCATATCCAACAGGCGTAAGGGTCCAGCTTGTCCAGCCTCCATTTCGGTGCCAAAAAGGGGCAACGCTCACTTTGCTCTGTAAAGATCAACGATTTTGTTTATGCTCAAACCTTTGTCAGAGGAGTTTTGAAGAAATTTGTTTAAAAACTGCTTCAGTTAAAAAAGGTGCTTTTACCTTCTTTCCAGCTTTTGGAGAAATTCTGCTGTTCCACTTTAAACAAATTTCACTTAGCTTGGTCATGGTCAAGATAAAAACCCAGAGCTCACGTAAAGGGTGCCAATTATCAGCAGTTCCTCATTTCTTACTTCCTAAAAAGGACCCAGAGGCAGATCTAATTGTACAGTACTGATCCCTGGCACATGCACCTCTTAGCTTTCATTGCCGTTGTTTTTTGCTGAATATTAAGAGGAATTTTAAACACATCACAGACTCCTGCATCAAGATTTTGCATTTCCTCAAAGAGGAACCACACTAACATTCCCGTGCAAGTGAACGTCTGTTCAACACATTAACTAAATCCAAATGACTACAAATTCCAAGGACAAAACTGTCCTGGAGGAAAGAGAAACTGCCTTATCAATTATCAGCAGTAAGCTGAACTTTATAATCAATCACCTTGCTTCCCAGCATTTTCCCCCCCAAAAAGACTGGTTTAACTTTTAATGAGGGGTCTGCTGGTGGGAGCAAGTAATTTCAGCCTTGCAAGCATCAAATGCACAGGTTACAAAAAACTTTAAATGAAGGAGGACTTTTAATGAAAAGCTTTCTGAGCAAGGTAAAACACAATACTGAAAGGCTGGATCCAGTATTACAGTCTACTGTTTAAGAGGCACAGAGGGAGATTAGGGTAAATGCAGTTTCTCAAAAGATAATTTTTCTGTGATCTTTCTGATTATTTAACAGGATCCAGCAGATCTACAGTTACAAAGATACTTCTTGAAAAGCTTAACAAACATACGTATCCCTACAACTTCCCCTATCATAAACCTCAGTCTCATGCACTGATCTATACTATGCACATAATCATCACCTCTGAGTTTTTTCTAGACCCAACACACACGCAATATCCTGTTAAATCAGCCATTTACCTCTTCTCTCCCTCAAAATAATTTTTAAAAAATTAAAAAAAAATTAATATCAAAGTTCCCCAGAAAAGAAAACCCACTCAAACAGAACAGGACACAAAGAAGTCAAATAAACTTACAGGAAATTTATTCCAACTCAGTAATATTTGCTACTGTATGTATTATTTGGGAACTTATAAACTATATAAACTACTTTGATACTGTTTTCAGAAATGTTTTAGTAGTACTACATAAGTGAATAATGCACCAGTAAAGACCTCCACTGCAAAAGATTTGTACAAAAAAAGAAAAGCCTTTGTAGAAAGGATAGTGGTTTTTATTGTAGTCTTAGAAAATACTGAATTATGAAAGATACAAAATCAACTGTTGTAATTATCTGTTTATTTTACAATCTGTATGCCATCATACTCTTATGGCTTTAAGACAGTCTGTCCAAAGTATTTTAAAACATGCTTTAACAAAGTATTTTACAATTTCAAAATCGAGTATTTCTTTACAAAAAAAAAAAAAACCAACCAAACTCAAAAACATTTACCTGAGAATTCTGTATCATAAAATTGTCATTCATTCTTAACTTTTGCAAGTTGATGATATAGGCTACAGAAGTCAACATGCAACTTGTATGTCTACTGTATTAAATAAATATTTTTAAAATTATTCAGATGCAGCTGGTTAGGCAAAAACCTACCCTCAAACTTCATCAAGTTCATCATAGGTTTAAAAACGTGCCATGACTTTTATCATGTGTCAGACAGCCGTGATGTCTGCACTGGAAGCCCTGCAACGTTTGCTGGGTGGAATTCAGACCCTGGCCCATCACCAGACAGCAGCAGTGGAGCACAACTCTTTGGTGGATAGTCCAGTCTCTGAACTTGGTAAGCACTGACCTCGTTTTCCAACATCCATAGCTGAGTGTGTCAGGGGTTTAGGCCACCGGGTATGTTTCAGTTCCCAGCCAGTCGTCCTCTACATATGCGCTCCATCCCTTTTATAACAAACATTTAACCCAAGGAATTCCATTTCAGAGTGTGTATACTATTAGGACAATGCTTTAATGTCATTATCCACGTCATTTCAGAATATCACCAGCTTTAAAAGTGATATTACATATGGACAGTAGAGAGGTTTGGAGCTTTCGGTTTTGTTTTTTTACTGTTTCTAGCTGGCTTGCTTTTTAAATAAAATGGAGACTTCGGAGCAAAACACTGCCCAGGGTGGCAGCACAGGAGGGAGACAGGATTAAATTAACACGGCATATACAGACGCTGGAGAAAAAAAACCCAAAGAGCTTCATGAGTAATACATATACAGGAACAACATACATAATTGATAGTAATTTAAAAGAATTTCAATTCAATTATCTGAAAATATATCCAAAGCATTAGAACTCTCATGATGTCTGCCATATAGTATTTATTTCTGAATTTCAATTACTGCAAGCACTGTGATTTATACAAGCTATGCTCCATTAACATAAGTTCTCCCCTTAAAAAAGTAATGATATATGATGAAAATCCAAGGATATCACTAGAGATTTAAATCAACTTCAATCCCATAGGTGAGGTAGTGTAGTCACTTGTATTACGTGCTGGTTATGAGAAGTACTGTTGAAATCTGTCAATTTTTTTGTTTTAAATAAGTGGCTTAATAGTCTAAATATATTTATTAATGCTATGTTACCTGTGGGGGAGAGGAGGGAAGAGCCTTTCCAAGAACAAGTTTTGTCTCACTGCAAGATAAAAACTGCAAAGCAGTATTTACAACAGTCCTTTGCTTAGTTGCTGCCTACTGTACATGCACACAAGAGACACAAAAAGCTAATATACATTCTGAGGTAGGAAATGAAGAATTCCACTGGCTTGTACAAAGATTCTTCATGTTTTGTAAACCAGCAAAACCAAAGTTTTCCATGGTGAGGTTCAATACTTAGTTCTGGTGTGAGAATAACATCTAAATAACAAAGCATAACTGCTATACAATATGCATCTACTGCCATGTAAAAATCTAAAAAATGGGGATTATTTTTAGTGGCTGAATTTCTCCTTCACAATGTAAATAAAGCAAATACCTCCAGCTCAGTTCCTTATTATACTTTCTATATGTTTATACTTAAAGCACAAGCCTTGAAAATGTACTACACATTTAGCCATAAAAGTATCCTGAAGACTAAAATTCTGAAATAGATCTTTACTGGTCCCAGTGATCAGAGAACAAATACATTTGTAGATTACTTTAAGCAACTAGGCACTAAAGTTGAAGAATTTGGTGCCTGAATACCTTAAAAAAAAAGTAAATCTGTCCTTAAACTTTCACAATACCTTGATTCCAACTTACCACAAACAGCAGCGAGCTTGAAGGTGCTAGGACAGTAAGTCACAATACAGCAATGAATCTTAACAAGCATATGGGATTCAGATGCCAGAGGATCCCATGCACACTAGTCAAAGAACTGCATCAGTTTTAAACTTCCTTTCCCAGTGCGTTGTTATTCCTCCCACAAAATTTAGAGAAGAGAGCAGTTTTCTGTAGCACCTCCGCTGTTCCAGTTGTCTTAACTATGTACTGGAGAGCTAAGACAAAGGCATATATTCAATAAGAGCTGGCTATGCTACAGGGATAGGAACAGCAAGAAGCAATGAGCTGTTCCAGAGCACACTTGTCAGAATTTCCTCATACTGTCATGCTATCCTAACCCACCTACAAAATAAACATTTACAGAGCTATATATGCTTCTTAAGAAATCTTGAGAGATAAGAATTCTAGGTATAGAAGTCATTGTGCATAAACACCTGTTAGGAGGCTTCTCTTGAGATGCAGAGTGGCATTAGGTACCAGGGCACAAATCAGAGTGAAGGCTGCTCTATACCTGAATGAAAGCTTCCTCACAAATAAACATCTATGCACAGAGTTCATACCTTCCAACAACTTTCCTGAACTCTCCTTGGCATCAACACACCAAAAAAGCTCTAAGGCCGACACATACAAATTACACTCTAGAACTACACAGAGCAAACCCACAGCTTGCCAAGTAATATAATGACTATGTAAGTGTCAACATAGTTTCAAAAGATAAAGTTTCATCTTTTCTTTCACTTAGTAAGTTACTTTACAATAATGTTCAATCTCACTTTTAGTTGCAATGTTGAGCGGCTGGCAATAGGAAGCGAACAGATTCACTCATCTGTAGTGCATTTGTCAGTCATTTGCTGACAGAAGTCTGTGATACCACCACTCTGTCCACATTGTTCCACAAGCGAAGTTTTCTCTAATGTTCTTACAGAAACTGGATGCAGTTCTTGTACTTGATCGTATGTTGCATCACACACACTCTTCACATGCTGATAACAAGAACTCTGCTCATTTGTAGATGTAACACCTGGAAGACCATCTGCTAATTCTATACACGCTGGTATTGCAAGCTCACTATCAGGTGGAGCTATTCGTTCTCTCTCCGGGAATAAAAATGAAAGTGGACAATCTGAGGAAGAATATTTTGCAAGTATTTGTATTTGCTCGTGACTCAACGCTGCTTCCTTACACACCTGCTGGCAAAGTCCAGTCAGATTCTGCTTTGTCTCACCCAGTGTTGACAAAATATGGTTTCTTTCCTTCAACAAGTTCTCCTTCTCATTTTGCTGCAAGAAGAAAAATAGCTTTTTAGTCTGCATTTTAAGCACAAAAACTATAGTTTGCTATGTTCCTAACAAAGCTAAAACAAGACTGTAAATAATCTGGTCTGCTGAAACATAAGTAATTTGGCAATAAGAAGGTAAATACCAACACAATCAAATGCTTATCAAAAGGATAATCCTAACCTCTCTTGAAGCATTATCAACTCAGCTATTTGAAGTGATTTTTCAGACATACAACTTTTTGAAAATTTGTGCTGGCAGCCATTTCATTTTATAAATGAAACCTAGCTTCACTGTAAATATTCCTGAAACACTAATTCTACATGGTAACATTTAAACCATTACCACTGGGTCAACAAAACATTAAGCAGAGCAGTCTTAACAGAGATTTTTATTTTAAAAGTTAAATGTTGAAAATCAGACATCACATTTTTACTACTGATGCTACTCTGCTGGATGAACATAAATTCAATTCTTAAGTGCCAGGTACACTGTAGAACAAACAAGTTAAGAAGAGTTTCTAAAGTAACTACAAAACATAGGAAAATGAAAGAAATAAAACATGCTAAAATTGTAAACAAAATATTTTCTCTGGAAATGCAGCACTCCAGTTTATTTCAAGGCACCAACTATAACACTGAAGAATTTAAAGTAGAGCCAACAGACTGACAGATTATTGAAGAGACAAGAACAGAGGTCCCACTAGGTAGGTAACCTACTACTGGAACAGGAGAATACCAGCTGAATGCATGAGTTTTAATTATAGAGCAAACATACTGAAAAGTGGCAGATACTGCTCAGACATAAATAAGACTGCCCCTGCTCTGAAGGGCTTACAATCTAGCTACGTAATGCAAAAGGATTTTCCAAACACAGGGCAGCAAAAGGGATGGTCATTCACTAATGAATATCAAATAGAAAAAAGAACCATTCATTAAAAATTAGCGTTTTGTTGTTGTTGGGTTTTTTTTGCTTCAATGTCACAAATTTTTGTGAGACTCTGATACAATTGGCTGAAGATGAAAGGACATGGATAATTGAGGGGCTGGTCTAATGATGGAAACAAGTAACATCTAGAAAAAAGAAAAATAAGGAAATGGCAAAGAAGGACAGGAAACAAGCAAGACCATAATGAAACACCAAAAACCAAACATGCCACACATTTTGAGTTCTAGAATTAATAGGCAGAGCTCTGAAGACAAAGCTTTAAATAGTTTTTAAGAAATAAATTTTAATCATACAGACTGTGTGTTATCACTATTGCTATGTCAATTCACTCCTAGAAAATTTAATTATTTCCAGTCGTTCTCACATTCCCTTTTGCAGGAAGAACTCATATTGCAATCTCTACAACTTCTTTTTGAAAGAACTAACTTTAAAGTGTCATTTTGCAAGAGAAGCAGTTTGTTGCCAGTCCTTTTTGCCCAAAATTATTAGAAAGAGTGCTTTGCTAACAAACTTCTACTTGTCAGCATACTAGGAGCAGCTGTTGCCAGAGATCCTAACCTGAAATCACTTTATATACATTTTGGATATGTAGAGGCACTCAGCTGTGTATTATGGACTGATGAAATTATCTGTACTGCTGTTTAACACAAAATTCAACATTCAGCCATAGTTAATCTAGTGTAAGTTCCCCAACCCTGTCTGAAGTTGTTGACAGATTAATACATGTACATATTATTTTTTTATTTTAGCAGAATTATACTAACACTGCAAAGTAATGCCAGCTACTTTTGAGGTCATAATAATCAAACTGAGAGCTCTTTTATATCCTCTGGTGAAGAATCTATTTAGTTCACACACTTCCTCTTCCTGCTATATTATATATAGCAAGTTCTCAATTGCATTTCTTGGATCACAGCTTATAGCATGTCACTCACTGACATGACATGACTCACTTTTCATGACACTCCTGAGCTACAGAATCTTCAGGGAAGTAGTGCTTCTTGAGGCCAGCTGTCCTTTACTTTGCTTCCCCTCACAAGTACCCTCATTTTAAAGCTCTGAAGTGAGAAAGTACAAGGAATGTGAATACACCCACATCAGTTCTGAAGGACTGTTTCTAACAAGCCAACATCTTGAGTGGCCCACATGTATTCTCAAATACAGAACATCAGTGAACAACAAGAACACATAGGTTCACCTGAAAGATCAATAAGAAAAGACCATATGGGGTTAAAAAATTACATTATCAGTACAGAAGATCAAGAGAAGTGACCAAACTTAATTCTCCCAGATAATATTTCAATTCAGTACCAAAACAGCACTTCTCTTCAATGTAAGTTGAGCTTACCATAAGACAATTTAATTTTATAGAATCACTTGGGTGGGGAGGTACCTCAGGAGGTCTGTAGTCCAACCTCCTGCTCAAAACAAAGTCAACTCTGGGTATGATCAGGCTGCTCAGGGCTTTGCTCAGTCATGTCATGAAAACCTCCAAGGATAGAGCATGCACAACCTCTCTGGGTAACCTGCTCCACTGCCTGCCTGTCCCCATTGGAAAAAAGTGTTTCCTTATATCCAGTTAAACCTCCCATTTTAATTTATGACAATGTCTCTTGTTGTCCTGCTGTGAAGTACTACCGCCTGGGAAGCCAAAGACCTTCCACTCCCAAAGGCTATGTGATCTTGAGGACCTCCCCAGAGATACGGGCAGATGGCTATTGGGTCTGCCCACAGCCATCTCTTCTCCAAGCAGAAGCCCTGTTTCTTCTGCCTCTCAGAGCAGAAGTACACCGGGTCTGACCATCCCAGTGGCCTTCTCCTAACCTTGCTCCAGTTTGTCAATGTACTTCTGGCACTGCAAGGGATCAAAACTGGACAAAAAATTCAGTCTTAAGTGTGCTAAGCATAGGAGTATAATCATTGCCCTTGAACAACTAGCCATGCTCCTGTTAATACAGCCCAGGACACTGATGGCCTTTTTTTCAACCTGGACATGGTGCTGACCCATGCTCAGCTTGCTGTCAGCCCAAACCCCCAAGGTCCTTTTCAGCTAAGCTACTCCCCAGCTGGGCAGTCTCCAGCCTCTACTCACGCAGGGGGTTAGTCTGTTCCAGATAGAGGACTCTTCCAAGAAACACACCACAAATACTGTCTTTTACTCTGACAGGACAAAAACCTGATAAGCAACAATGAATAGAAATTAACACAAGACAACATGCTGCATATGCTGGAAGCCAGAATGAGGAGTTTAACCAAATAATATTTCCTAGCAGGCTACAGTAACAGAGTATTACCTACTTGTCAAGAGTTTTCAAACTATAGCTACACTATATTATTCGCTCTCAAAGCCACATTACCATGAGATGACCAAAGACTAACAGGTCAGACATGTGACTGACCCAGAGAAGCGGGAATGAGGCAGGAGTCATCATGCGTGAAGCAACCTGGATATACCACACAATGCCTTTCACAGATGTCTTCTTCCACCCACCTGGAAATTATGCCTAGACAGATCTTAAAGTTTCTGTATTTATGCATGACTTGCACAAGTTTGATGGTGCACAACATCAATTGCTGTCAGACATGCTCAACAGCTCCAAACAAGGTCTTTTCAGGAAGAAACTTAATTGCACAGTTGGAAAAAATGAGCAACTGGAACATGTTTGTGCCTAGAGCATAATTCATAACTCAGACCTTACTTCATAGTTTTCAACTCTCATTGCCTAGACCTTGCACAGTGATATCTGTCAAACAGCAGACATTCAGTCTGTTCTAGTACAGGTTCACAGAAGAAAGGATATTATCCTATGATCATCAGTCACTTAGTCAACTACAGGTCTAATCTTGCAGATGAAGCTCTAATTCGCCCCCACCAGCGTTGCACCATATTGATGAAGCTACATAACAGAAATTACAAAATAACAAAAGCAGATAGAAAGTTCTGAACTGTCAGAAATGCAACTTCTCTCTTTAGTCAAAATACTGTAACTGTTACTAAAACAATCACCTGATTTCCCTCTCTCCCAGAGTATCTTCATTCAGCACACTGCATGACTTGCTCTGTCAACTCATCAGGGCTGCATGGCACCACAGGCCTTCCCGTAAAGTCTATCTCCCTTGTTGTGGAAGTAGAAGTGCATGTAGTGAAAGATGATGGACGCATGGCACTTTGCTCTAATTTTATTTTCCTTTTCACTCTGAAGTGATAAGGAGAAAGGTGCAACATGACTGCATATGTTACTAGCTGATGCAGATACCACATTCATGTACACAAACACAAAGCCTAAAACACTCCATAAACAAGAATTAAGAGTTCAGTAACCCTAAACAACTGAACTACTTAGTGCACGTGGTATGATCAACTATGAAACTAAGATGAAAGGGTCAGAAACAAAGACCAGAAAAAAGCCATTCTATTTTCTTGCCAGGAGAACTTCAGATTATCCATATTTCTCTTAAGTTACACATTTATCTTTTTATTGCCTTTTAAGAAGGAGAAATGGTATTAACAGATGGTTGCACAGAAATCTGGATACATTAATTCCTCAGCTACAATCTTGATACAACTGCTCAAAAGGCAAGCAGCTTCCTGACTTCTGCTGTATCTTCCTCCTTTCTGCAAGAGTCTCATTTCTAAGATTGAAGACTCAGGAAACAGTTCACCAGCCCATGTTGATATGTTACAAGAAAAATACTTACACAATTAACAATTGCGTAACTGTAAACTTGATCATGAGCAACACCACGAGCTGAAGAACAGAAGCACAAAGCAAGAAAGGGGAAAGAAGTAGAAAATAAAGTGGGATGATGGTTTGCGAATCATTCTGTACAGTTAAGCTCAATGCTGATGGGCTTCAGAAACACCATTCAGCAAAAATGATGCTGTGATAGACTTTTACTTGAATGGAAACAAGTCCACAGAAGGAAAAATGTGTGTACTTTAAAGCACAGAAAATGCAGAACTGCTATCATGAAGTCATCTAAGATTGACAAAGTCTTCTAGGCTTGAGTGGAAAAAGCAGTAAGTCACCTTGCTCTCCAACTACTGCCAGATGTCCAGTCAAGATGTTTAGAGAAAGACTCAAGTCAACAGTAATGAATATTTATACATACCAGTTTTTCAATTTCAGATTCAAGATTCTGTATGCAGTCAAGTTTTCGCTTACGACATCGCTGTGCTGCAATTCTATTTTTACTTCGTCTTCGGATGTCATGAATACAGTCCAATTGTTCAGGAGTTAATTTATGCATTTTCAGAAATGACTGGAAGTCATTTCTGGAAAGTGAGATAATCCTCTGTGCATTAAATGGCAGTTTTACCTAGAATGTAAGATACAGTTGTAAATCAAAGGTGAAACAGATATACACAAACACTAACAGGCCAATTCAAGTTTTCATTTTAAGCATTCTTTACCACACAACCCATCTTTCTTCCTAAATCTGAGGCAAAAGCAAGGTCATGTAGCCCTCAGGCAAGGTGGATAAAACCTAGGGGTTTCAACTGGATGAGTTGAAGCACAGGCAAAATAACTGAGTACTCTGCACATTTACACTAGATCCCCAAAAGCATATTCAGAGTAGGATGAAATCTATCCATGTGTGTAGCAAATAATTAGATGATACACTCTAGGAAAATAAGTTATCGTTAGGTGGTGCACAAAATGGGCATCAAGGATCACAAACACAGTCTAAAGTTTCCCCATATCTGCTATTAAGACTGTATCCTGTATACATTTTTACACCTATAGATTTCTGCAAGTTCATCTAAAACAGGCATTTAATTAAAATATAGAAGTTACACTATTTGTCTTATAATTCTTAATGCTGGAGAATAGAGAGAACCAGGCTCTTGCTACTGTCTGTACACCTCAGCTCCAGAAGCCAGAGCTTCTGCAACATATATAGATCACAAAGTCCTGATTAATGCTGAAAAACATCTTTACCTTTACAAAATAATTGTCACGTTTTATGAAGTATCCACTTAAAGACACTTTATTTTAATCCTTACATTCGAGTATACTAAGTGGCATAATATATTAGCTTGCTGTGGTCAAAAATCTGACTTTAGTTTAAAAAGCAAACAGAGAAACCCTTTCTGTATTTGGCTACCACTGGTGACAAACAGGCAAAAAAAAGAAAAAAAAGGACAGAGTACTACCCTCAGCAATGATGCCATCTACTTCTTTGTAATGTAAAGATGAGGCACGTATTTAACCAATTCTGGCTTTTTGTTTGGCCTGCCAACTTTCAATATCGATGGTAGCTGACACTTATTTTAAGTAAGGCCCTGCAGCTTGAAAAGAAAAATAAAACTAGTGCTTTAGAAACAACTGAATTTTCATGTCATTAAATGATCCATCACACACGGAATCACACTGCAATTCTACAATTCCAAGAACCGTGACAGAAATCATTCTAGGTATATAGTAAAACCTTTTTGGACTAGACTACTTATGTATCGCATCTACCTAAAACACTACCAAAGCAATGACATAAAGGAAAGAAATGCCAAATCCTTTCTTCTGTTCCTTTCTGCAGGAACAAATATAGCCTCAGTTTTAGAGAAGGTGATACTATTAAAGCAGTTTTAAATACACAACTACTAAAGCCAGCTTAAAAACTTAATTTTCATTTCACAGTAAATCTGAATTTCCCTCCCACCTTCTCCCCACAACTCAGAATAAAACCAAGAAAACTGTTAAGTTTCTATAAAACAAAGGTTCCAAGTAGTTTATATTAAGCTAACTGAAGTAGACAAAAAAAATTCTAAAAGAACCCCGATGCCTTGGTTTGACTCACAACCTTTTCCGATAGCTGTTCCAGAAAAATACCTGAAAACATCTAATACCTACCTAACCCTACCAAAAAATACTTTGTGTCTCCCTGAATTAACCGTGATCTTCCATATAAACCCTTGAGTGGTTATTTAAAGTTTCATTTCCCAGATTTCTAAAACAAGCAACTCAAGAGACTCAGAATTAGGTTTTTGAATACGGCCTTAAGAGACAGGGAAGCAAAGGATACAGCAGGATGATTCTTACCTCACATTCCTGTTCTCTTGCTGAACAGGATTCACTGTCTCCCTCAGTGTCAGTTTCCGAATCCTCTCCCAGACTTATTACATAATTATATGGACACTGTTCTTGTTGCTGCCCCTGAACATAATCTCCACTGCTTATTTCAGAGCTGTTGGAGCACCCTTCAGTACTAAGGTTGCTTATAAAGGGGCAGTTGACAGAATTCAGCGTTGTAAAAGTTCGTTGAGAGCAAGGTTCAGGGCTTTCACTGATTCTGATACCCAGCCATGGACACTCTGATTTTTTCCCCGAATATACTGGCTCCAAGCACTCTTTTGGAACTGCAGGTGGTAAATGTATTTGACAGGCTTCTGTGCTGTAAATATCACTCCAGAACCCTTTTGCTAGATGTTCTGCTACCTCTCTCTCTACACTGCTTCGATCACCAGCTGATGTAATGTTAACAGCTTCCCTAGTACACAACTCAACCTTTGAAGGTGTGTCATCTTGACTTTCAATTTTGTCATTCCCAACTCCAGTACCTGATACAGTTTTTTCGGCTAAAACTGTGGTGTTTTGCATGCTACCAAAATTCAAGTTACCATATTGCTCACAAGTATGTAAAAAAGTAACAGAATTGAGTCCATGAGGTGCAGCAGGGTTTTGGGGGAAAGCAGCAAGATCCATTTTCTCCACAGGACACGACACATTCTGAGTCACAGAATCTCTCTTTGACTCTTCCTTTTTCTCAATACCTTCCTCCCTTTCTTCCATTTTTACCTGAGTCTCTTCACATTTTGAGACCAGCTGCATAGATACACACTCCTGAGCTTTTTGTATGCCATCATTATCGGATATTTCCTTGTCAAGAAAAGTTGCAATTGGTGGCACCTGAATGTCTTTAATACTGGAACTGGACTCTGAAGTATGAACTTTGTCATTTCCAAAGGCTTTCTGGAACTTCCGATACTTTGGGCACTGGGAAGATAAGCTGGAAACACTACCCCTTTCTACATGTACAGGATCACATGTTTGATTGGCATTATCTTGGAGAGCAGGCGATGATTTAGCATTTTCTTCATCTTTACAGAGCTTTGTGTCAGGAGTTTGAATATATTCCTTTTCTAAAAGTTCTTCCGCTTCATCATCTATTGCTAGGTCTCCATCATCCACATGGCCAATTTTAGAGATTGTTTTCTGACAACGCTGTGTACAACACTTCTTCCTAGGACATTCCTACCAATTTAAAGTCCAAAAATTTGAATTTGAGAAACTGAAAGCAAGACTCTTCAATGTTGCGTACACCCAAAAATTCAGCACATTTGCAAACTTCAGACACATTGTCTTTATTTAAAATAAGCTTAGCTGTGTATGCGAACTGAAGCAAAGGACTAAATCCTTTAAGCGTTACCTATTTAAAAAAATAAAGAAAAAATTAGTATGGCCAATATGGGTTTAAATAGAGAAGCACACAGAACCCAAATTTACCTGTGAACAAACCACACCAGCAGGACAGAATGCAAGACAAAAGCAGCAGATTTGTTCCACAGAGAACACCTGGCCACACTAAAAAAAAAACAAATCTTCTGATACAATTTTATCCTGTACATTTTGTGGCAATTATCTTTTTCACTGTGATCAATCTTGTAATAAAACGTTCTGACAATACAGTACTAACAAGTGAAAAATATTGCTGAACACTGAAAACCAGTAGCTGGACTCCCAACTTCACAAAGATATCTTTGAAACCCAAGTTTTCCATAAATTACTCTAGAATAAAAATCAAATTGCTGGTTGTTGCTCTTTAAAGAGCAATTACTGTTATTCGCTCAGTCTTATCCATCATTGATACAAAAAAAGTTTGAAAAAATTGAATTTGACCAAACATGATTACTTATTACTATAGCCACATACTCCTTTCTTCCTCCCACACATGGAGAGAATCGTACCCAAAAACTGTACACCAGAACACTTCAAAGCCTCTTTGGAGTAGGTAGTTTTAATTGAAAATTTCCATCATTATCATCTCAGTTTTTACCACAGAACAGCTGCCTAACAGGGAATCCAGGGATAAACAAAAACTGTATCATGACAAACTGAACAAGATCAACTTCTACAGATGAAAAAATTACTAAGGAATCAGGCAGAAACCTGATATTACAAATTACATGACACTTCTTTTAGCCTTTCTCTGGAAGTGAAGGATAAAGCAGTATGTCCATTATTACCACTCAAACTGAAGCCCACGTTCCACTCCCCTCCTTTATTGAAATGAACAGGACTTTATGCTGAATAAATTGCTCTATTAATGCATTAACTATATTGATTTCTGCCAGCAAGGTAATTAACTATACATGCCATTTAATTTACAAATCAGCTGAGGGTTTGTTTGGTTTTGGTTTTTTGGGGTTTTTTTTAGTGGTGGTTTGGTGGTTTTTTGTTTTATTTTTTTGTTGTTGTTGTTGTTTTTTCTAAAGAACAGATAAAACATGAAAGGAAGTTGAAGAGATGTGCACAGAGACAATTCAGCAGAACTGTACACTCTTATGACCTAAGGAATTCTTAAAATAGCGTTTGAAATATGCTCTGGAGAGAAGACTACTGATTACACCATAACATTAACTCATCCTTAATAATGTGGGGAAAGAGAGTGTAAAAACAGTTTGTCCATAAACTGGCAAGAAGTCTTCAAACTTTATTAGTCAATAAATAAAGTGAGGTTACAAACGAGTGACATTCATACATGGAACTGAACAAAACAAATACAATAGTATGTCAAATTTATACATTCTTTCTACATAAAGTAGAAACAATTATTGATAAAAACTGGAAGGATCGAGGGGCGGGGGGAACCCCCACACTGTACTTCTTTCGCTTTCTCACATACATTTGCAGCTGGCTATCCTCAAACAAGGTAGAACACTAGAAAGACTCTTGGTCTGACTGACCTAGGAAAGCAACTCTTGCGGTAACCATTCATTTAATTTGTATTTGGGCTGAAAATCTAAATCATTGAGTAAAAACAATGGTAGAAAAACACCACAGACCTACACCAAGATGTCACTAGTTAGTCTTTACAATATAATACAATATATCTTAAGTACTTTAATTCCAAAAATATTTTGGTATCTCAGATTGTGGACTGCTAGCTTTCATTTTAAGCTTCAAATACTTTGGACGATGAAAAAGGTTAGAAAGTCTTTTAAAACAAACAAACAAAAAAAATCACATCAAACCATGTGATCAGTGCTTGCCTCTCTCAAACATGCAGCCTCATAAACCAACTCATTTCAAAATATTTAGCAGTTCCCAGAAGAGAAGCTCAAATTGCTGAGTCTTAAAATGCTTTTACCAAGTAAGTGATCAGATCAAACGATTAAAAGATGAGATTCACTGTTGTGAATATTGCTTGGTTTTGCTTCAGTATTTTTGCTTGTTGCTTCAGTAGATTCAATTCCTACATGAGTAATACTGAATTACATTTAAGAGTCCTCCTAAGTCTACATTGTAGTAAGTATCAGGATTGTTAAGTTCCTCTACTTTCTTTACAAACTGGTTCCTTCTAACTCAGGTTTATTTCATGGGTTGATTGGAACACTGTTGCTTTGCACCAGAGACTATTTTTCCCCTTTCCAACTTTGATGTACATTCCTTATTCTTCCAATATCCCATTTTTTCCATCATCCCAAAGCAAAATTCTCTCTTCAACATCAGAAGTTTCACACCACAAATTTCCCTCTTTAAATCATGGCTTTGTGTCCTCCAGCATTCTACTTCCCTTCCACATCAGCTCCCATCATTAATTTTCTGAGAGACATTCAGGCTATTAACATATTAAGCCACTAGGAAAAAAAAGTATAAGAAGAAATGAACATACAGACACAGTAAGAAGGTTGAATAAAAGTGACATAGTGGTATTATGCTGTAATGTAATTTTGTAACAAATTCATTGATCAATATAGAATAGCAAAGACCACTGAAGTTCTTTAAAGAGACCACTTGATCCCTTTTAGTTTTCTGTTTCCTATAAAATGAAAAAGATTCTGGTAACAGAGAATCCTGGTGCTTATCTCAGTATGTTACAAAGCCAGTGAGGTGGCTACTTTACTGATGTTCAGGCTTTCTGAATACATCATCTCGGCGTTAACACTCAACTCAGTCTTGTACATGAAGAAGTCTATGATGTGATCTCCAATGTCACTATAAATATTCGTTGATGAGCACCTTTCCTCCAAATGTAATGATTCTAGTTGAGTTGCCAACAATTTGCATGCTATTTCCCACCCCCAAGGGGCTAATTACCATAAACTAAAACTACCTCCTAGAAAGCCACTGATTATTTAGCAACCAGCTCTTCAGATTATTGCTACCACTGGGCACAATCAGAGCACTTGAGGCTCTTCATTTTTCATCTACAAGCACAATATTTCATATAAAAATCCAGTCACTTGCTTGCCTCATGCCTCTTGTAACTTAACTAAATACCAGATGGAATCTTTAAATGTCTTGGACATTCCAGATATGTAACAATTAATTTTCTTTCCTATGGAGGTCAGGTTCTGGTTCATACCCACTGAATGCCTTGAAATTCAATCTAAAAATATTTATTTTAGGGTTAAAAAAGAAAGCAAGTAATTGCAGTACGTTTTCTCAGTTTTAAAAGTAATGACACGCAGTAGAAAAAAATAAAATCAAGCTGCTAATGATCAGTTTGTAAAAAGGTGGGATACTGAGCAGAAGAAAATTGTTACCAACAGTAAGCAGACAAGCAAAGAATACTCAAACATATGAAACCAAATCTTAATGATACTGATTTAAAGGTATTACCATTATAAGCTTTACTTTGTTTATTACACCAAAAGTAGTCTCTTTTCATATAGGAGGGCTAGTTCTGCAGTATCTCTTTACCACTTAAGGCCTGTTTTTTGACAAACTTACATGCTTTGAAACAGGTGAACAATTTTAAAAGTAATATATACTTAATTGAAAAGATCTCCCCTATACATTCCCCAAGGCAGCATTCACTTATCTTCAGTCTATGATATTCAGTCTAATCTGCTAGCCTTTACCTCAACCAATGGCAGCTTTATAGCTTAGAAATTCCTTCCCTTCAGTTCTTAAATCCCTCACCTTAACTTCTCAGTTAAGCACCAGCCTGTTGTAAAACAGAATTGAACAAAACAGTTTAGAAGCACTGGCAGGTAAAATACAGAAGGGAGCAACACTCACCTCTTCCGGTAAAGTGATGATAAGATCAGCATCCACCTGGCCCACAATTCTCGAAAGGAAGTAACTGCTGCAAGCTGCAAGCACAGCTTTGTGAGCCCGAAATCGCTGATCTTCCACTAAAATGGTAACATCACAAAGAATGTCTTGCTTTCTCTGATCATCAAGACTGAGAAGTACATTGGTACTGTGTATTGAAGATTCATATGCAAAAACCACACTATTCTTCTCACTTAGAGACATTCTGTATCACAAATGGTAGTGTAAGTCTCAGTGGAAAGCATGCTTCTGTTCTTCAAAGCTGGAGGAAGAAAAAACAAGTTGTACACATAAGTCATATCCAACAGGAGCCCACTGCTGCTAAAGCATAAGCAAACTGCTAAACATGCATTGCCTGTTCTAATTCTTTTTAAGACTAATACTCAATATTTCATGTATGTTAATACGTAAATACGTGCTCATGAGCATTTGAAGTACCCGAACCTTGTTATGTACAACTTAAGATATTGCTTTAGTAATCTCAGACTAAAAAAGGGAACAATTTTTCATGTGACTTCAGTGATAAAGAACAGGTTTTTCCTCAGCAAGTGATTAAGAGTCATAACTTTAGCATAACACCTAAAACTCATTTCAGCTTTCATTTGTAGTTATCAGTATATTCTGACTCCAACACTATGAAAATGTACAGAGAAATAAAAAAAATGCATTAAGCCATAATTCACCAAAATACTATATAAGCTACTTCAGTTTACCAATTTACCTAGTACAGACTAAAATATTCGTGTTCTATCTTCTTTCAAAAGTAATTTGCCTGCTAAACCAATGAGGTATTGGTAAAATGCTCTCATTTTCACTCCAGCAGGTTGGTGTTTTGCTTTTAAAGCAGGTTAGTTCTCCTATTTTCCACCTGCCTTAATTCTCTAATGCAGCCTTATTTTCCCTCTCCTGCTCATCACTATTTGATTTGCCATGCCTGTTAGAATTTTGCTTTCATAATGGATCACTATGTTTCAGATCACCCAACAATGGAATCCCTTCAGTGACAGAGCATCACAGTTCTGAAATAACAGTATTTATTGAATAATGAGCAACAGTAGAAGTTAAATGATATTTAAAACCTTTAAATAAGCTCATACATGACTGTCCTGAAGCTATTCCTGAACTCCTAGTATTTGGGGGAAAAGGAAAAAAAAAAAAAAAAAAAAAAGAGCTAGGGTGAAGTAGCCCTCCTAGAGGGTGCAAAGTTTAACAGCATTTCCAAGTGTCATCTTTACACTGTATTTCTAAATTCCTATCTTTGGATTGAGCCTTTCTTCCAGTTTAAAAAAAAAAAAAAAAAAACAGGCTAAAAATGTCCTCGCCATCTAAAGCTCTATCAAGAAACCACATAATCAGATTTGGAACTGTCCTGCAAGGAAAATATGGTATTACTACGAAAAGTGTTACCTCAACAAACCCAGCATTTAGATTACACTGGACTATTCTACCCAAGCGTTACTGTAACTCAACGCAGCTGCTGAGGCTCACTTCAGCTGACACAGGACTACCCAATCACTATATTGCTCAACAGAGGTTATTACGATATGTCAGCTCCCAGCAACAATAAAACTGTAGCCAATGCAAGTCTTTGGTTTTCAAATATGGGAACCTTTCACAACGCAGGGAGGGAGAAGGGCATGGCCATTTTTAAAGACAGTGGGGGAAAAAAAAACAACCACCCTGCCAGCTATACCCCTGGTTACTCACTGAAGTTATTTTCATGGTATACAGGCATTCTTAGTGATCTTTTGAACAGAAAGAGAGAAGAAAAAGATCCACATTTCCAGTGGCAGCAGTAGCACAGTACCAGTCTGGACGCGGGTAAAGTGCAGAGCATCAGCATTATCTGCCCTTCCCACTCCCTCATGGAATACTCTAACTTCACAGTCAACTTTACCAACAAAATGTACAGGTGATAAGTTGGCAAAGACAAAGAAAGTAAGTCCGTTTTGGGGCATTTGCTTCAATATACCAGATTTTTTTTGTTTTGTGAAAATAAAAGTTCTAAAAAAAAAAAAAAAGTTATACAAATCAAAGTTTTTCCCACTAAGCAATAGCTATACCATGAACTGTTAATCCTAAAGGGCTTATTTTTGGAAGTAGAAAAGAAAAAAAACCCCAAAACAGTTTAAACATTTTTGTATACCTAGTGACAAGACTACAGAGATTTGTTTACTTAGGAAATATTTAATTTCCAATCAGTTTAAACAGGAATTATGGAATAATTCCTTATGAAACAGTTATTCATTAAATTCTATTCTTAAAATAGCTTATAAGTAGTGCAATATAATTCATGTGTTCCTAATCTGTTTGCTCTATATCCTTAACTTATCATATTCCTCAGATATTACAGCACACACAATTTAACAAAGTACTGCTCCATATTTGTTACCAGAAGGTCTAAAAAAAAAAAAAAATCAAAAAGGAATGGAGACAGTGGAAGACTAAATCCAGGGTGGTGGGGAGTACAGGAAGTATTAAGCACATAATTTGGGGTGTACACCTAGGCAAAACTCATGAGGTAGACTGTAGTTGCAGACAGGCCTTTAAAAGTTCTTTTCACTTTCTTCTTTTGAAGTCCCAAGTTCTCCCAACCCTCTGATAGACAACCCATGTACGATATATGCTGCTCCTGGGTTTTGCCTTCTAAAATAATCACCTTCAATATCTAACTCAGCTCATTACACTTTCATAGCATGGAAAGCTAAAAGGAACAGTGATTTGTTTAGACAGACAGAAATGCAGAGGACAGTCAACCCTCCTTTTCACTTGATCTCCACAAGGCACACAACATGCTTTCAAAACAGTGTGCAGCCTACTTGAAGCACTGATAGCGAACTTCCAATGCTGTTGCTGCCAAAAAAAAAAGTTAGGTTTCAACACTGAAAACACTACCTTCTGTTTCTTGAGAAGTGAAAATAAATATTTATTTTGAGCATAATTCAATTTAACACTTCACTCTGGCAGAATCCTAACATGAAGGTTTCGGCAGCCAAGTTACAATGCCGCTATATTTACAGGATGCAAGTTTTTTTTGAAGTAGCCAAAATATAAAATGCAGCATTTCATTAAGCATTTCAAAATTTAAAGAACCTTTAAAAAAAACCCTCAAAGCAACAAACAAAAAAACCACAATGCACACCACACTCAAACACTAAATTTCTCTCAGTCGTCTTTGTAAAAATCTAATACTGTCATACATGATAAAGAGAGAAATCAAAAGGAAAAGAACCATAAGACTGAAAATGCTGGTGAAAACAAAAAGCATCAAACAGGAAAGGGAAAATGTAACCACTGTAAAAAGCTGTAACACTTCAGAGAATTACTAAGAGGTCAAACTTGTGAATATATTAATTCTGTTTTCCAGTTGTGTAATAAAAAGCATGGTACCATATTTATAAAAGTATTTGTCATGTCAGCAAACTAGATTTACCACAGCAGCGTGTGAATACAAAATACACTTGGCCATAAGTAGATTTGTTATATATACAACAACAAGACTTACTGTTATACCAAAGAGAAAAAGTTCATCTCTTGTGTAAACTGTCTAATTTTTCATCTACTTTAACTATTCTCCTGGAGCACTCAGAAATCCTTAAAATTGATTTCATTTACGGATGGACAAAGAGGTGAAAAGGTGTGAAGTGGAGAAAACAATTAAATGGTGCTTTTTAAAGAAGATTTATAACTTACAAGCTCATGCTGCAACTGTCCTACAAGGACAGGCCCTTCTAGGTTTTTTTTCCCCTTACAGTGCAGGTGTCCATTTTAAATAATTTTCTACAAATATTATCATTCAGATTCC